AAATTCTAAGCACATGGCGATGTTAAAATAAGTCAACATTTGGTGTTTTAACTAGATATAAGGTTCTTTTCCAATTTAAGCATGTCACATTTCAAAAAAAATAAATTAGGGTCAGAGAAATTGCAACTGTGGCCTAAGAATCTAACCAGCCTGAGGCATGTTACATAACTTTCAAATCTCAAGTATTTCACTGGTAAAAGTGAGGATAATACCACATACTTTGCTAAGTTATTGAGGGGATTAAATGAAACATTTAAAAGGTCCCAAGGCACATAGGTGATGCCCATTAATTAACTTCTTTTTCCCATGGAAACAATGTTATACATGGTAATATATGCTGCTTAGGCAGTTTCCAGAACAACAAAAGAAATTCTTATTTAACTCTCACACACATGGCTCTAAAGCTATTATAATAGAACTCGGTCAGCATTCAGCAAATACTTACAGGTACAGACACTGCACTAACAGTGAGCAAAATAGACTAGCTTCCCACCCTTGGAGAGATTAGGGTCCAGTGAAGGTGACAAGCAGGTAAGATGCACAGGAGGAAGCTGTGAGAAGGGAAAACCTGGGTACTCTTAAAAGAGGCACTATTGTAGACTTGGGCATCAGAAGTGTAAAAAGCTTCCTTCCCTCCACATGCATTTATCATCCTGATTCTGGGTTCTGATTTAATAATCTGGAGCAAAGGTCCTGAAATAAGGATTTGGTTGAGATTTGAAAGCAGAGGGCTCGGACAAGACAAAAAACAAAACAAAAACCTGGGCAACACCCTTCTGCGGGGAAAAGGCACATATTCAAGGCAGTCAGAGCAGGCTGGAGGACTCTGGGAGCCAAACTGCTCCCTCTTGCTCTGGGTCCCCCGAGAATTGCCCTGCTAGCCTGGATTGGCAAGGGAGAAGGAAAAAGAAGCACTCCCATAAAAGAAGTAGGGAAGAGAGGGAAAGAGAGAGAAATAAAACTCCAGATCAGCAATGGAGATGAGAAAGAAATTCCTGAGCAGATTTTAAATGAGGTCAATTACGCTCTTCCTTCATTAAGTCTTTGCTCTACATGCTATGAACTCCCTTAATACCATAATTCTGTGTCAGGCTACTAGCCCATCTCTGCCCTTAGATTTCACCTCCTTAAAATAATTCTCTAGAACATCACAGTGCTCCCATTCCTTTAATACCCCTTAATCCTAAAATTCCCACATTAAAGTACCTATAAGGACCTAAACAACTTGCTGGATCAAGTTCATACTTCAGTCTAGTCATCAAGGCCTTGAATGCAATTCATGTCAGTAAACCCTTAAATGCCAACTATGGGTAAAAGCCAAAAAGTAAAAACAATGAAAGTGTCAGTTGCTTAGTCACGTCTTGACTCTTTGTGACCCCATGGACTGTAGCCCACCAGGCTCCTCTGTCCATGGAATTCTCCAGCCAAGAATACTGAAGTGAGTAGCCATTCTTTTCTTCAGGGGATCTTCCTACCCAGGTTGGGTCTCCTGCATTGCAGGCAGTCTGAGCCACCGGGGAAGAATACCAGTGAAGGAGAAACAAACATGTGGACAAGAAAAAATTCAGCAAATGAAACTTTCAAGGGTGAAAAATTCAGTTCCAACAAGAGAGAGGAAACAGACATCCTCACCCACGAAGGAACCAATCCTCTGGGCTTTGAAGGAACAGGAAGACTTCAAAATACAGAGATGGTTAAAATGAACATTTTAAAATAGGGCAACAATAAGAACAAAAATACACATGATGTGTTCTTGAAAGTAAATGGTGTGTTTCAGAGAAGTCAAGCACTCTCATGTGAGGAGCTTTCAGCTACTTCCCCTCTCTTTCTCACAACACAGGGTGCTGTAGGCAATCTTGAGCCAAATGGCCTAAGTTCACATCCTGACTCCATCACTCAGTACCCTGTGTAGACATGGCGAAGTATCACGACCACTTCATGCCTCAATTTCCACAGCGACAAAACAGCAATAAGAGGTTCACTGTGAGGATTCAATAAAATCATGCCCTGCCAAGCCTACTGACATGACAAGCGTTCAGTGAACATGAGCTGTGCCAGTGCGACAGAGAGAATTTGGCACCAGTCATGAGGGACCCGCAGTGCTCCCCTGAGTGCTCTGAACTTCACCGAAGGAGCCACAGCATGCCACTGGGGCCTTTGAAGCAGAGAAGTTATCCAATCCAGCCTGGCATCATGCAAATTAATCTGGGGCCAGCCTTGGGTAGGATGCACAAAGATCTGTGACTATTTACAAAGTGCTTGCATTGATGAGGGAAAGGGCTAGAACTAGGGTAGCGGGAGCAAGGATAGAAAAGCGTTTAACAACATCAAGAGAGATGCTGTAGGAAGACAGGAAAGGATACTGCCCACACACATGTAGTAAAGGAAGAAGACCTGAAGAACACTCTTACAAAGCTACCAAGTTGTCCACCTGAAACCAATAGAATACTGCAAATCAATTATGCTTCAGTTAAAAGAGAAAGACATCTCAATGCTCAGCCAGACACTACTTTTTATTTTTCTCTACTCTGAACTCCTAGAATTGGATAATTTGCAGGCATGTTGCATACACCCTTGCCATACCGGTCTTAGTCTGTTCTGTGCATTCCACACCCTTTTCCCAGGTCAGCAAGCACCCTCTGTGTGATAAGAGCAGGGCAATGCTATACACGTCACTTTCCTCAAGAGTGTGGAAGTGGACACATCAAGCATCTCCAGAACAGGCAAGTGATCATATAACATAGACATTTGGTCAAGAATTCCAACTGAATTCCAACCGCTCCACTTATATTTTTTTTTTTTTTTGCTCCACTTATTAATTCAAGCCTAATTTTGCCTGGTAGCATTCCACTTCAAGTCGAGTGACTAAAGGCATAACACTAATGAAGAAACCTGAAACCACGCCATGGGAACTCGGGTTCCTCTGAACTGCTCTGACCTGGAACACACACCCACACTCAGGCTTTTTCTTAATCTACAGAGGCAGCTAGTCCCATCACCCTGAGGGAGTTGCCATCACTGAGCACACGGAACAGTAATCAGGCTGCTCCGTGGGATCTGATGTTTGAAAAGAGGAAGGCAAACCGGCAAGCCTGTAAAACAAAAGGCACCTTGCTCTCTATTATTCATCCACTGGCACCTTATGATCCCCAAGTGCAACAGAGGCTATTCTTCTCATCCACTGAGACTTATGATGCTAATTATATATTCCCAGTTCTTTAAAATGGAAGTTAAAACATAATTTACAACCAGTGATTTTTTTTTAGCAACCTGAAGAAATTGGCTTATATATGTTTATAAATATGGATAGAAAAACTGGAAGAGATATACCTAAGTGTTAAAGAATCTCCCTGAATGATGGGATTACCCAACCATTTTTATTATGTATATTTTCCTACATTCCCAAATTTTATCAAGCACAGAGTCTTTTATAATCATGAAGAGAAAAAGCTTACTCTAAACTTGTAAAGCTTTGCTGTACTGATAAAAATGAATGATACTAAAATACACTATATCATATTTTACACAAAGGTATTTCATTAATATAACTTAGGCCAAGCTATATACTTGATGTTGTGCCTTGGAAAATATACACTCTAGTAAGGTACCAGAGAAGGCTAGACCAAGTCACAGGGCCATAAAAGCACCTCCACACTAAAGGGTTCATACAACTATCAGATTGCTTAATGAAGGCTTTTTCCAAAAGAGAAAAATTTCTTTCGATTCTCTAGACAAGCAACAGGGCCTCCCAGGTGACACTAGTGGTAAAGAACCTGCCTATCAATGCAGGAGATCTAAGAGACCTGGGTTGGATTCCTTGGTTGGGAAGATCCCCTGGAGGAGGCAACCCACTCCAGTATTCTTGCATGGAGAGTCCCATGGACAGAGGAGCCTGGCAGGCTACATTCCACAGGATCTCACAGAGTTGGACACGGCTGAAGCAACTTAGCATACATGCAGACAAGCAACAACTTTTTAGCCTATGTGTAAAAACATAGTAAAAGAACATTCATTACCTAATAATTCTCTTAAAGCTATCTATCAGATTTTAAGTAGGAAATAACTACAAATGCCCCCATTCCTCTTCTGATGGTACATTTTATTTGGACTCCAAATGCTAAAGAATGCAATTTTCATACCGTAACTAAGGCTCAATATTACCCTTATAAGACAAGGAATGGTACAAAACTCTAGACTTTCCAGAGTATAAATTAGTATTGCAAGTCACTACACTTTTCATTGTTAGAAAAAGAGGTGCCATGTCCTTACAGGCCAGTCCCTCTCATATGTATCAATTTCTCCTTGTGGTTAAGTTCCCTGGTAACTCAGTCAGTAAAGAATCTGCCTGCAGTGTAGGAGACCCCGGTTCAATCCCTGAGTCGGGAAGATCCCCTGAAGAAGGAAATGGCAAACCACTCCAGTATTCTTGCCTGGAGAGTCCCATGGACAGAGGAGCCTGGCAGGCTACATTCCATGGGGTTACAAGAGTCGGACACGACTTAGCAACTAAACCACCACAACCACACCTTTCATATGGTAAAAAAGAAGTGCCATGTCCTTACAGGCCAGGCCCTCTCATATGTATCAATTTCTCCTTGTGGTTAAGTTCACTTTCCTGAGAAGTGGCTTTTATTACCCATTTAACTACTAGACCTGCATCTAAAACTCCCCGAGTTACCCTTGCACCTGGGCCTGGACTGATGAGCACCAGCAGTGCAAGTCAACAGCTGCTGAAATGGGGAGTCAGGAGCAAACCCAGCCTAACTAGAGGGAGACTGGTCCAAAAAGTCTCCTTACACCCATAGCATAAGGGTCATCTGGATCCATCAACAGAGTTGGAAGAGATCTACCTCCTCCAAGATCTGTTAAAAATAAAATGCAATATCAATTACTACATTATCAGCCCATACTGTCATGCCCAGAGGTGAGAAACATGGTTTTCTGATTTAAATCCTTAAGTTTTTGAGCAGTATGTTATTAAAAAGCCTTTCCAAACTCACCTGTGACCTGGGGACCTCTGCCTGTGGCAAGCTTCTCCCTTCTCCAAGCTCAGATGTTAAATCAGGGCTAGATATTGAAGACAATGTGTCTTTAGAAGTGGCAGCCTGATCCTGGGAAAGAGATGAGTAGGGAGGTGTAGGTGAGGGCAATCGCATCACACTTTCTCTGGGCACGTCGGCCTCTCTTTCGCTGGATGAGCTGGACACAAGCTGGCTTGTGTCCGGTCTTTGCACAGAGATGCTGATCGAACTGCTCTGGGTTCTCTTAATGCCTTCTATGTCTCCATTATACTTCCAAGCATCATCCATCTAAAGAGGAAACATCATTGTAAACTTGCTGTTCTGTTAGATTTCTATTTTAAAAGTATATACATTAGATTAATATTTTAAAGTAACAAGAGTAACATATACCTCCCACAGCAAAGTCGCTATTACTAAAAGGTTGGAGCATGTTCTTTGACACTGACAGATATGCACATATGAAGTGGGAGGAACAGTTGATTTTACAGAAGTGTTTATATTATAAACAGACCTTTAAAACATGCTTTGCTCATTTACATTACTCCAGGTCAACAGAGAAATCTAAACTAGTTCAGTTGAATACTCCACACTACGGATATCTATAATTTATTCATTTGATTATGCTTCAATGTCATTTAAAGTGTGCCCAAGATATTACACATACCAGCATGTTTATTTTTATAGCATAAATTCCCAAAAGTAAACTTAACCAAAGAATATTTTATGTGTAATGTAAAATATAACTTTTGTATACACACACACACATATTTCTTTAAAAACTGTAGCAATGCACTCCCAAATTAACGTGTAAGAATGTCAGTGTCTCTGCATCCTTGTCAACACCACACATTTTGAACGTTTTAAATCTTTGTCATCTCATGGGTAAAAAGCTGTACACTTCATGCTTGCTCTAATAAGACTACACATGCTTCTATGTGCTTTATGTAACCAACCATTCAAAGTCCCTCTCCCTTGAACTGGCCAATCGTTTATACATCTGCTTTTCTACTGTTTATCTTTTCCTTATCAGTTTGTAGGAGCATTTTAAATCTTAGGGATATTAAACCTATATATAAAATATATTTTACTAATATTTTTCTGAGCCTATATAAATGCAGTCTTTTGACTACATTAATTGGTGTCTATCATATAAATTTAATTTTTATGTTGTCAAATATGTCTGTGTTTACTTAATATAATGGTCATGAGTTTTTCTGGTCAGTTTAGGCAGGCTTTCCTCACTTTGAATTTTTTTAATCAAATCTTTTCTCTTAGATTTTTAGGATTCTACATAGGCAGAGGTAAAAGGAATTTGAACACCAAAGTGCTCAAGACTGTCTTGCTTCCTTTTACGTAACTCAAATTAATACAATCACTTTCAAGTACATGGATGGCACTGCTTCATTCTCAGAGCAAATGATTCTATATTCTTTAAAATCCCAATAAAATATGTATTTTTTTTGAACCATGAGATACATTTTAATAACTACATTCAAGGGTATCAAGTTCTAATGAAGTGGGAAATGAGGATACATAGAAAATTTGGGCATTATCACCTGAAAATATTTAGGTTAAACTGCATGAAACTGCTGTTTCATAGGTCAAAAAGAACTAACTCCTGGCAACTTCATATAGTACAACCTAAGACTTTACAATGGGGCTTCCCAGGTGGTGCAGTGGGAAAGAATCTGCCTGCCAGTGCAGGGGGTTCAAGAGACTCTGGGTTGGGAAGATCCCCTAGAGAAAGAAATGGCAACCCGCTCCAGTATTCTTGCCTGGAGAATTTCATGGACGGGCTACAGTCCATGGGGTCACAAAGAACTGGAAGCAACTGCGCACACACACAGTACTTTAAAATAGATACATCTGAGAAAATATGACACTAAAAAGTCAATGCTCAAATGCATTCCTTTTTATAGCTGAGTCATATTCCATTGTGTGTATGTGCCACAGGTGGATGAAACTGGAGCCTATCATACAGAATGAAGTTAGTCAGAGAGAAAAACACCAATATTGTATATTAATGCATATATATGGAATTTAGAAAGACAGTAACAATGATTCTATATGCAAGGCTGCAAAAGAGACAGAGATGTAAAGAACAAACTTTTGGACTCTGAGGGAGAAGGCCAGGGTGCGATGATTTGAGAAAATAGCATTGAAACACGCATATTACCATATGTAAAATAGATGACCAGGGCAAGTTCGATGCATGAAGCAAGGCAATCAAAGTCGGTGCTCTGGGACAACCCAGAGGGATGGGGTGGGGAAGGAGGTGGGAGTGGGGTTCAGGATGGGGGGACACATAAACACTGTGGCCAATTCATGCTGATATATTGCAAAAACCATCACAATATTGTAACTATCCTCCAATGAAAATAAATTCTAAAAACTAAAAAAAAAATTTTTTTAAGTAAATGTTCTGCCTTGGGATGTAGTTTATTTTTAAAAATGTGTCAGCTCTACTTTCACTGAATTTGAAATTTAATCAGTTCTGCATTGTTGCTGTATTTTAAGCATTAAATGTATGAATCTAAATAGACAAAAATACAATTGCTTTATATACAAGTTAAGTATACTTTACATATCTAACATCTCTAACAGAAACCTCTGCACAAATTCACCAGTGTTTAGCGCTGGAGAACGGACTGAGGGAATGGGGAACATGTTTACCGTGTAGGATCTCGGGAGTGATGAGATTCCCCTTGGCTGAGAGCCAAAGGGTCTCGGTGCGACCACAGATGTTAACCTGGCCGCATCGCTTTTCTGGTAACTTCTGGGGAGAGTTGCTGAAACTCGAGTCGACTCCATTTGTGTATTCAGTGAATGCTGAGAAGACAAAGAGGCTGGGCGCTGTTCTTCCACGGGGCTTCTAGAAGGAAACTGAACTTCCGCTGTGACAGTAGCCTCCCTTTTTGCAAAAGTTGTAGAATCCCGCTTAGGAATTTCTGTCGGATAAGCCGTTCCTTTCTCTTCTACTCTCTCACTCTGGGAATAGGCTTCTGACACAGGCAGCATAGGGGGAGGCTTTTCTTCATTCAATCCGTCATCAAAAGAGTATAGTCTCCTTCTCGATGCAACTGTAGACATCTGATTTGGGGATTCCCTTAGTAGAAAGAAACACCATAACCACAAAATTATGCATTTGACACCCAGAGGTGGAGAGACATGTTATTTTGGTTATTAACATTAAAAAGGATGGGAGTAAAAAGATGGCTGACTTGGTATAATAATGTAATAAACAGAATGTGAGAATAAATACATGTGAATTTTTCAACATCACACAAAGAAGGATTAAGAGCTTGACTTTTTTTTCTCTTTTTTCCTTAAAGAGGCTAAGGAAAAAATCTCTGAAGTATTTGCAATTGTAAAGGGATTTCACAGGAAAATAAGAAAATTTTAAATAAGAGATTATTAAGAGTTCCATAACACACTTGAAAGATAACTGACAGCCAATCTGAATCCTCCAAAGATGCAGATTTCTTAACAGGGTGGAGAGTGTTCCTGTATACAATATACAATAGTTTCGTAAAAACAGAAGACGAAAAAAGATTCAGACTTTCAATAAGATCAAGTTAGTATATGATTTCATACAGCTTGGTAGATTTTGCATGGACAGTTATGGTAGATTAAAAGTCACTATTCCTATTTTCAGAGAAGTTAATGAAACAGTCTCTTGGCTATCATTTAATAAGGAGTACGTCTCAAGCCAACTACATTGCATTCAAGTGAATGAAACTGTGTTTACCATTGTCTTCTAGGGCACAAAGGTGCTTTGTTTAAGTTCACCTGACAGCACATTTCCTTTTTGACATTCTCCTTAAAGCATATTTGCCTTCTCCCTGACCTGTAAATATTTCAAGGTTTCATAGAGCACTGCTCCACAGGCAAGCTTAATTGGACCTCTATCCTGTTATGTTGCAATGCAAAGATAAACCCCCACAGGGATGTTTATATAGTCTTCCTTTAAAAATACAATTTTAATTGCACCATGCCAACATGAAAAAGAACTTTGTTACATTTTACACAATTTAGTTAAGAATGAGAGCCATTTTTTTGACCATTCCATTCCTAAATTTACTTTAAAAGGAGGAAAAAGTTGTTTATTTTTGCAAAGATAGCCAACACTAGCCAATTCTGCATGTGAATATACAATGTAAAAGGAACAACGAATACCACTTTTAAGTACTCCTTTCTTTCATTAATTCAAATCACTACTTATTACAGCAGTACTTTGCTTTTTCACTGCAGAGCAAAACAGTCAAAGGTTTATGCAAATTTGATGACAGTCTAATATTGGTGCACAAGTACAGTTCACAACACTTACACAAAATATCTAACACTGGTTTCCCCAACCCTGAGATGTATTCAGTCTCATTACCTGTCCTGTAGCATTTCATTAAATGTCTTAGATCTTCTCTCCGACTTCTCAAGAGCCTGCTTCTCAATCTCCTCTCTCTCCTCCTTTTTCTTCTGCAGATCCGAAGTGTAGCTTTTCCGACGATCTTTCCATTTTGCAAGGTCCTGACAGAGGCAAATCACGTCAGCCCAGGCACACCTGAATTTCTACACACCCTTTCCAGCAGTGAGTGCGCGCCAGAGGATCCCATTACTTCGCTAAAACTATTCACTCCAACTTGATGCCAAGGTGCCCTAATTTTGCTTTTTATAGCCAGCGTTTCTGTACCGAGCCTTTATCTCATGCGTCTGTCTAAAAGCCCTGACCTAATAAGATAGACCCCATTTTTGTTTTCCCAGGTAGTGCCTGCCTTGCTGCCCATTTCATAAAGCATGCTAAACGCTTGTAATGAGATGCCAGGTCAGAAAGGCTGGGAACTGTTTCAAATTTATTTTCATCTCGTTCCAATCATCTGGTTCTTACGTGAAATGACATGTTTCATCAGTCAAACTAGAACAGAACATGACTGTAACATGGCTAAGTATAGACACACACGGAACAAATACAGAGATCGGTCCCTGCTTGGAGGCAACGGGGCCACACACACACAGAAATACAATGTGCTTCCTCTAGAGGAACTCTCAGTCTAGAGGGGAAAGACAGACAGGTAAATCAAGTTCAACAACGAATTTGAAGGATTGCATGAGAGAGTCAGGGGTGTATGGAACGAGTGGTCAATTCTACCCTGGGAGGGGAGGGCCAAGTGTAGAAAGGCTTTAACGGGGAAGCCAGACAGAGGATGAGATGGTTGGATGGCATCACTGACTCAATGGACATGAGTTTGAGCAAACTCCAGGAGATACTGAAGGACAGGGAAGAATGGCGTGCTGCAATCCATGGGGTCACAAAGAGTCGGACATGACTGAGCGATTGAACAAAAAGGCTCAAGAACTTGATTTCAAAGCAGTTAAACTCCCCATAAGGACAGGGCAATAAGGAAGATCACACAGGAAGCAGTGGACATCTCTTTCCATACAGCCATCCAGGATACATCCTGGGGGTGACCCCCGGGACACTCGACCTGATTCATCTTTAAAATTAGTCCTGGCGGCCTAAACTGGTTCTGACATTCAGAGGATTAGGACAGTTTGGATGGTACCAACTTCCCTGTCCCACCCAGAGAAGTCACATGCCAAAAACTGCTAGTGGCACTGCAGCCTTCTGCAAAGTCCCAGACTGAAAAAAAAAAAGAAAAAGAAAACCTCACCCCCCACCCACCCCAGGCATGTAAAATAGGTTTGGTTTACACCCTTTTGGGAGCAGGCAGGGCCATTCCTGCTTTAAAAAAAAAAAAAAAAAAAAAAGCCTGAAATCAATATGAACTATTTCCAGAAAGAACAAAAGCAGTGCACATCAGTCCCGAAAGACTGTAGGAGCACTAGCATGAATTTTCACCTGAGTGAGCCTAAGGGATGACCCCTCCGTATCTCTCTCTTTCATCTCCAATCACCATGTATTCTGGCAAACTGACACTGAATTTGTGTTTCTTGAAAATGACATTGAGCTCCCAAATAAAAGAAGAAGTGGCATTTAGAAACATGGCCAAAGCAAGGGTTTCATCTTTGTTACTTAACATTTAACTCCTTTGAAAATTAAGTGTTACTATCTGTGACCCTTCTGTTCATGCTACCACTCAACCCTCTTACCATAGAGTTGTCCTCAGATCTCTCTGGGTCTGCTGTATATAATTTATCTATCATAAATCTTTACACTCCTTTGCTGGGCGCTGGGCTGTCTCTCAGTCATGTCTGACCCTTTGTGGCCCACGGACTGTAGCCTGCCAGGCTCCTCTACACACAGAATTTTCCAGGAAAGAATACTGGAGTGGGGTGCCACTTCTTACCCCACGGGATCTTCCCGACTTGGGAGATTGAACCCAATCTCTCGCGTCTCCTGTGGCTCCTGCATTGGCGGGCAGATTCTTTACCACTAGCGCCACCTAGGAAGCCCCTTAGACTCCTTTGAGAGTGAACTGTGAAAGTGAAAATCTCTCAGTCATGTCCAACTCTGTGACCCCGTGGACTGTAGCCCGCCAGGCTCCTCTGACCATGGGATTCTCCAGGCAAGAATACTGGAGTGGGACATGTTTCCTGCATTGGCAGGGAGGTTCTTTATCACCAGCGCCAGCAGGGAAGCCCATAAATATATACAGTGTATAGGTGTCAGTGAAAGTGAAAGTCACTCAGTCATGTCCGACTTTTTGTGACCCCCATGGACTGCAGCCCATCAGGCTCCTCTGTCCATGGAATTCTTCAGGCCAGAATCCTGGAGTGCCATGCCCTCTTCCAAGGGGATGTTCCCGACCCAGGAATCGAACCGAGGTTTCCTGTATTGCAGGCAGATTCTTTATCAGCTGAACTACCAGGGAAGTCCTACACTACTTTGGCCTATAACAACTGACCCTTTTAAAAAAAGGCACAGCTCTCTTCTGCTAGGGACAAAACTAAAGATTAAATCTTTATCCAAATAGATATCAGCTCTGTGAAAACATCTTATTTGGATTCACATTCAATAACTGCTTTTTTAACCAAAACAGTACTGAATTATTATTCACATTTCTCCCCAAACCTTCTCTATTAACTCTAAGAACACTTTGATCTCTCCCTGTTGATCCCGTCTCTGTACTGGTCCCCTGCTCCTCCTAAACCTTAAGCAAAGTCTTCCCCTTCATGAGCATCACTAACAGTCATACCCCAGATGCAACCATCAGCACAAGTAAACAAGTTACCTACACTGCAAGGAAGCAGCTTCTCATTTTTGAGAACCCACAGAAAATATCAGAAGATAAAGAGCTTCTGTGTTTCACAATGGCCTTTAAGATACAACAAATAGAGCAGAAGGGTTTAAAACTTTTTTTTAAAGGGAGTTGCTCATATTTTCTATGGAACTGTAATCTGCCATAGCAAGAAAAATTGTCCTTTGAGTATACTATCTTCTTGGAGAAGAAAGAAAAGGCCAACAAACACATCCTCCCCATCTCCCAATAAGCAACGTACTCACATCCTGCCATTTCTGGTCCTGTTCTTTTAACTGGGACTTGATTCTCTGCATCTCCTCGTAACGTAGCTGACGCAAGCTCTGAATATCCTCTGCGCTGACATCACTCATGGACTTACTCCTACGACAAAAATACTCATGGTAACCAAGGTTCGTGGAACCGGATTCAAGGTTAAAACTGGAAGGTTGGGCTTATATTTGGAAATTCCATCTACAATTCTGCGGTACTACCTAGATGCTTTCGTGATAATATCACAGAAATAGCACTACAGAGATAAATGGTGTTTTTCCAAAATGCAGAAACTAGAGCCTAGCACTCCAGTCAAATGTGAATTCTTTCACAGAATGGCTAAATGAACCCTGAACCATGCTGAAAAAAATAATCTGATGTTCTTATTTCAGGGAGTCAATGCAGAAAAAGATTACATTAGAGAAAAAAAATTATCAGTCCCTAGAATCACCTATCTTTATCTCCCCCAGAGATAATCTTTTAAGGTTTGGCTGCCTTTTCTGAGTACTTATTAAATTATTTAAAGATTACCTGATATTTTCTCCTCAAGTTCAATGCCATGAAGACATGTGCTGCTGCGGCTGCTTCTCAAGGGTTCTACAAAGATCTGCTCGCCACTGCACTGTGCTCGGTCTCAAAGACCACAGTCAGTTACTATATAACCTCTATTATAATCCTCTTTTGTATTAAGGCAGTTTTTGTTTTGTCCACGTGTGACTGCTGCCATGAGGATGTAAGGTGGGGTAAGTCTCAAAGAGCTCAAACTAGGGTACTTTGAGTAGAGTACGGTGTTGCCCAGGAGTGTGTGCGGTACACATATCAGAGGAGGGGAAACTGAGGCAGACCTCCTGGAAGAGAGGTCAGATCGGCATATGGAGGAGTGAAGAGACATGAAGCTTTCGAGTGTGGGGTACCCAAAATGTTCTTTCCTACCACTTCTGCTTTTACTTCATTGTAACTGACTCCCCTTTTAGTTAAATAGTTTTGCATCTCTTTCTTGGGCCCCTAAATTTGCCTTCCCCAAGACTTTGCCATCACCACACTTTTTTAATAACACACATGCCCAGCTAGCTCAGGAATTCAATAATGATCTCTATGCCAGTGACTCCCAAATCCATAGCCTAGGACCAGTCTCTCTGCATCAATTCCAACCGCTTGTTAAATAAACATCTCTGCATGGATGTCCCCTAGGAATCTCCATTATAAAAGGATCAATGGAAACAGTATCTAGAAAGAATTTTGTTAAGTGGTAAGTCATATGACTATAAATGCGTGGTTATTTGGCTACATGATATAGCCAAAAATTTTGTCTCCAAACCTGCTTTTCCTCTTGTTTATAGTGTTACTTGCCCTCCAGTCATTCACATTTAAAATCAGAGAACCATTTTTCACCTTTGTCTCTCCCTTCTTCCTATGTTCAATTAGTTATCAGGTCCTCTTATTCAGTGTCTTTTTCTTTCCATTTCTGTTGCCAACACCCTAGATCAGAGCACAATCAACTCCTAATCAGACTTTTAAAAAAGCTTCTTAAATTATCACTCAGCCTCCAGATGCAGTGAAGGTCTTTCCTGAACTCTTCCCTTCAACTTAAAAGCCCTTTCAACAGTATATATTCCTTTTTAAATGCCACTTATTCCTCAGGATCCCTATGAGACTACAGTCTGGTTGTGTGTGTCTGTGCATGCTTAGCTGCATCCAGCTCTTTGCACTTCCATAGACTGTAGCCCACCAGACTCCACTGTCCACAGGATTCTCCAGGCCAGAATACTGGAGTGGGTTGCCATTACCTTCTCCAGGAGACCTTCCCAACCCCAGGGATCAAACCTGGGATTCCTGCAGTGCAGGCAGATTTTTTTACCATAGTCTGGTTGTATGTATGCAACTATTCACTCTCTGCTTGGAAGTCTAATGGGCAACTCAAACTTCACTGAACAGACCAAGACCAGGACTGCTCATCCTACCATCCACGTTCATCCCATAATCCACTCATCTCCCATCTTCCTCATTTCAATAAAAGCCAACTCCATCCTTCCAGGACACAGGCCAGAAATCTTGGAGCCATCCCAGATTCCTTATTCTCTCACGTGTAACTGATCCCATAGGGAATTTCTGTCCCTCTACCTTCTAAATATATCTAGGGGGTGACCCCTTCTCACCATCTCCATCTTCACGACCCTGATCCAAATCATCCTATCTCCTGCCTGGATTATTAGAATCATCAGCCTCCTAGCTTCCACCAGGGTGTATTCTTAACACAGCTCCACTCCAGTATTCTTGCCTGGAGAATGTTGCCATTCCCTCCTCTAGGGGATCTTCCCAACCCAGGGATCAAACCTGCATCTCCTGCATCTTCTGCATAGCAGGTGGATGCTTTATCACTGAGTCACCAGGGAAGCCCACTTAACGGGGTATGACTATATAAAAACCTGATTTGAGAATATAAATTCACTTAAGTTGTAACTGCAAAGAATCAGGCTATATGAGCTAATATAATACAAAACTCACTAAAAAGATTTTTTTTCAGCTCTAAGGTATGAGGGAAATCTGGATGCCCAACATATGAGTGTACAGAAATTCCAGAACAAAATTGGAAACATAAGCATTTTAAGTAATATTTTGGTGGGAGGAAGGCTGACCAGTCTCAACAGGTCCAGACCCTCTCAGTCCGCACCCTCACTCCCTGGGAAGCTTTAACATGTGTCTTTTCGGAAAACACCCTCATCATGGAGTAGAGGCTCACACCCTCCTGGGGCGCCCACAGCAGAGCCTGGGGCATAGAAAGTGTTAGTTGCTCAGTTGTGTCTGATTCTTTGCCATCCCATGAACTGTAGCCCGCCAGGCTCCTCTGTCCACGGCATTTTCCAGGCAAGAATACTGGCATGGGTTGCCATTTCCCTCTCCAGGGGATCTTCCTGACCCAGAGATAGAAACTTCCCGCATTGTAGGCAGATTCTTTACCATCTGAGCCACCAGGAAAGCCCTCAGTGGTCCCCAATATAAATAAACGAGCCAAACACTGGCTGGAGTAGACAGGTCCCTGTGGAAGGCAAGAATGTGAGCCCCCCGTGTTCCCTGGGATCCAGTTAACTTAAGAAAGCCTGAAAGCCTGGCACATTCCGAACAGGCTGTGCCAGGCACCAGAATGAGACAGGAAGTGAGACTCAGCAGAGGGATCTAATTTTCACCACTCCCTCCCTCCGCACCCGACCCAACCCCTGATCATCATTTAACTCTTCTCAGTCTCAGTTCCTCATCTGGCTAAACCAGGAAGGAGTTGCTGGGAAAAACGGGTCAGTTTATGTTGATGGCATTTCAAAAACCCATCTGGTGCTATGCACCAACTGTTCTTATTAAGGCAAATATGATCATGAGAGATCTACTGAAAACTGACTCCCAAAGCAGTTTCAAATTAGAGAGGTCACCCCAGGCCCCACTGATAAAATCGAGAACTTTTTGAGTGTAGGAGCCTTTCAGCCAGATCACAAAGAATTCTTTCCTTTCTTATCAGAGTTAACAGCATAATAGCAAACTTCTGAGGGCTTACTATGTGCCAACAAGACTGCCCAGCAGTCTCCATCCATCAATTACCTCATTATACGAAGCTCTAGTCTGGTTCTACCAACTCAGGAGCTGCAGATCCTTGGGAAAACTAGAGTCTATTTTTCTTTCTCCATGTCTCTAAAATGCAACCTAATACCTACCTGACTACCTCCCCAAAATAAGTCCCATGGATATTCCCAGGAAGATTATTTGGGAAAACTATAAAGGACTACATAGCCCTAGTATGTTTTGTATCAGTAGAATGAATAACTATTCACTGGCAAATCACAATTCTCTTGCAATTCATTTACCTTTGTATTTCCTTATTTGGAAAGATTCCGATTTAGAACCACATTTGGGCTTTTTCCAAAAAAAATACAGGTCTAACATGCTGCATTTTCAGGTGAATAATTTAAAAAAAGAAAAATAGCACTTAGGGTGAAGAGAGAAAGAAGGGGAAGTTTATGAAAAAGGAGAGTAGATTATAAAACAAGATCACTAAAATCTTACTCTTTTTTCCCACAATGCTGGGACTAGTGTTACAATGAGCATTTTTGTAAAAAAAAGTCTCAGGAAATTTACAGATGAATATCTAAGAACTAATGGATCAAAAAGGACTGACATGTAGCAAAATTTCCTAAATATAAAATCACTGATAATCTTATATGGCAAACAGCAATTCCATGATACTTAGTTTGGGGTCCTACACTTTCAAAGATATGAATATATCTATGTACCTGTACATATATTTCCATTAACTGTTGCAGGAATTCTCTGAACACAAATCAATACTAAAACCTGGGAAAGAGACTTTACAATTATCATAAATTATACTGATAAGTCAATATATGAGACTTTTCCTTTATAGGTTTAGAGTCTATTATCGGTGTCTCTCTACAGCAGCACTACTGACATTTTGGGGCCAGAAAATTATTTATTGTAGGGGGCAGTCTTGTGTATTGTAGAATATATAGCAGTATATCAGTAGCAATGTTGCCTCAACCCATCCAACGTGACAATCAAAAATGTCTACAACATTGCTGAATGTTGCTGAATGTTGCTGAATTGCCTGGTGGCAAAATCCTCAGAAAGTAACTCACACTGACTGGGTTTTTCCTTCCTGTTTTTGTCTTAAGCGCCCTTATTGTTCTTTAGCTGCTCAGACGTGTCTGACTCTCCGCAACCCCATGGACTGCGGCCCACCAGACTTCTCTGTCCATGGGATTTCCCAGGCAAGAATACTGGAGTGGGTTGCCATGTCCTTCTCCAGGGGATCTTCCCAGCCCAGGGGTCGAACCTAGGTCCCCGGCATTGCAGGCAGATTCTTTCACTGCTGAGCCATCAGGGAAGTCCAGGTGCCCTTACAGTTCTCCAGAATTTTTTTTGGCCAAAACCCGTAAGTAAAATACAAGTCTTAGTTGTCTTTGATTATAACTTCACCTTGAATCAATGTTCATTTCCTGTTGATACTAGCAGTAGATGCCATGGCTTAATTAACCACATTACAAAATTACAGCTATATACCATTACAAATTTCTTTGCCATTAACAGCTTCTGCCAAGAGGCATCATAACCAAATTTTCAAATGTCATGGAACCATATGACAAGTCATGCAACACAAAAGCACACGTGAGAAAATGACAGCCACACACAAAGCATCTTACTAAAAATAAAGTGACAAGTGTTCAATGCCAAATTAAAAAGCAAGCCAGAAATAAACCATCTGAGGCTGGAAAGGGTGATGCGCATTTCTCTTTAACTCTTTGGTTCTCACCAAAAAGAAAGCGTTCATGTTACAGGCAGTTATTTTCCATCACAGGCTATTGAGCAATAATGATTTTTCCAGGGAGGTATTCCACACTGGAAAGCAAGCAAGATGTCCAGAGAAATACCACCCAGAAATATCACTTGTATCATGTTTATGATCATTCACAAACATATTTATAAACATGAGACAAATCCTAGGCTAAAAGTCTATACTCAACTCAATTTAAATTTTTGTTTTCATTGCAGATCAACTTAAGAAAAAACTGGTAACAGAGAAAATTTTTTAATCCCAAATAATAGATTTTTGATTGCAAGTGGTCTAAAATGCACCTGAGTTTTCTGAAGACCTATCTGTATTAATTTCCATTATTCAACAAGTCATGCATTATTCATTGGTCTCCATTTATAGATAACCTCGTGTTACCCTGGCAGCTAGCTGCATGGGGAACAGCATTTAAAACAAATAGTGTACTATGCAAGCAACAATCTTGAAACAGTCTACAGAAGGCATTTGCTGCTGCTGGCTAGGGCCCAAAAAAATCCTTAGCTTGCTGAGCTTCGGCATTTGGGTCTCTCTTTTCTTTTCTTAAACCAGTCACACAATGTCTCCCTAAGGGGGAACATGTACAGTCGCTGGAACAGCTGTACAGGTTTACATTTCCATCAAGTACTTGGACTCAAGTGTATTCCCGTTTCCTTTAAGAAAAACCACCTGCTTACATTATAAAGTCTTATTTACCAATGAAAATTCTTCTGAAAGTTATCACTCAAAGTGTTTGTAAAGATTTTTTATCAAAACAGCTTTCCCATGATGAATCGAGATTAGCAGATGCTCAAGTGTCATGCTAAAAATTGCCTCGTACACCCTCCTGATGGAGATGTTTTAAGCACACATGAGGAACCAGATAGGAGATAACGTGCCTTTGCAAGGCCTACTGAAAGCATGCTTGGAGCCTGATTTTTAACATCAGTGGCTGAGAATTACTGATAATTAGTGGCTCATTGTGCCATTACATCCTTGACATCTAGGAATGGTTATATTGCTTTATATAGTGATTTTAGTTGATTTAGTTGATTTTAGTTCCCTATCATAAAGGAAATCAACCCTGAATATTCATTGGAAGGACTGATGTTAAAGCTGAAGCTCCAATAATTTGGCCACCTAATGCAAAGAGCTGACTCTTGGAAAAGACCCTGATGCTGGGAAAGATTGAGGGCAGGAGGAGAAGGGGGCAACAGAGGATGAGATGGTTGGACATGAGAGCAAACTCTGGGAGATGTGAGGGACAGAGAGGCCTGGCATGCTGCAGTCCATGGGGTCACAAAGAGTCAGACACGACTGAGCTACTCAACAAGTGATTTTAGTAACTTCTAAGATCTCCACGGAGCCTGGTGGGCTGCTGTCTGTGGGGCTGCACAGAGTCAGACACGACTGAAGCGACTTAGCAGCAGCAGCAGCAAGATCTCCACACTCAAAATTATCCAAAACTATCAAAATTAGAGAACCTTTGAGATGAAGTAAGTTCCAGTAAGGGAAGATACTTAGCTCCTAAGGCTTAGGCAGATGAAAATATTTGCCATACTTCAATTTTCTTCTTGATCAAAAACTATTAGCAGTTGGGTTCACAACGTTACAGAAAGTTGACATAAAATATTAAGATGTAGTCACCTGAGTATTCTGCCCTAAGCGTGAATGAGTCTACACTGCTAGTGCATATGAAAAGTTAGAAAGTATTTATTTTAATTTTGCTATTCGAAAAATGGGAAATATTTCCAGAAGGTTGTTTGTATAATATTTTATGTCTGCCAGGTGACAGAGTCAAATGACACAACAATCAACCCCTTTATATCCAAGAGGACTTGTTCTGGGAGCTGCATTCCCAGATACAGAGGGTCAACTACAGAAAAAAACTGGGAACAGTTTTAAGTATAATCTTTGTAGCTTACATGGAAACTACCAATATTTTAATTTTTTGCAGCTTTGGAAGTCTGATTTGGCTTTATAACACAGCTATGTTATAAAATTCCTGACCCTAGTCAGGAATCTTGAAAATGTTTCCAAATCTTACTGAGGGAAAATAATGCCACTCAGCATCCCAACTAAGGAAGCTCTCCTTGAACTAAGAGTACACAGATAATGCCAACCGCATGCCTTCTGAACTCAAAGTAAATACCAATATATTTTTTCCATTGAAGATTTTCTAAAACATAATTATTTGGGCTTCAACATCCAGAAATGAGAGGTTGGGCCTATGTGGCTATCAGATACCAAAATAAATAAACCTAATCTCAGGCATGTGTTTTTGTGACTTTTAATCAACTCCTTGGAAAAAAAAAAAAACAGGATTTGAATTTTCAACTTCTAATAAACAAAATATTGCTGTCATACAGCATTGCAAGCACTGGGTACTCAGACAGAAATATGACCATTTAGTTGCAGAATTAGGAAAAATTTCCCTGTTTTAGGTCTCATGCACAGCACAGACATTCCCATGTAGTGTCATGCCAGGATAGAAATGCAATGACATACCACACAAAGGACAAGCAATGTGTAGATTTCTTTTACTGTGAACCATAAAACTTACCCGCTCTCACCATAAATCTTTTGAAAGAGTCTAAGAAATCAGAAAACCAAAAATTAAGTCATGTTTTTCTAGTTGTGTTAGTTTCTAAATTTTCAACATCTTCAAGAGTCTAATTAGAGATGGACAAATCTCAAAAGGTTGCTTCTTCAGTCACATTCTTGATCAGGTCTCAAATTCTCATTGATCTCATATCTCAAGGAATTCAGATCAAGATAAAGAATTTCCTGTTTTCCTTTGAACCAAATGAACAAATTCATTTAGGAAACAAACAAACAAAAAACTTCCGGTGCCAGGAACTAATAAGAAGTTAGATTTAGGTCTACTAATTTCATTTAACCCATTATTTGTCCATCCCAAAGTTCCACAAACTGAACATTCATCAAAACGGCAAGTTGCATAACACATAAATGCAGACTCATTATCAAAATGGCCATAATTACATACATGTAAAGTGTAGCAGACAGCAAATAACATTCATGCACTGTAATAAAATTTGCACTGAACTTTAAACCATCAATGTAAAAAGTCGCACGTCAATAGTCTAAGAAGCCTGGGTCAAAATCAGACATCAAAATCAAGTTAGATGAAACTTGCAATGCCATATTTTAAGGGAAATTTTTACACCAAAAATCATGTACTCTGAAATACAAGAAACAGATAAAACCAGACTACAAGCAGAGTGTTTCAGAAATGCCTGGATGTGAGAATAAAAGTCTTGTAAATATAATGAAAAAACAGCTTTGTGAAACGTCATATGGCAGAAGCATATCAGTCTTCCCTCCAGGCCAAGGGCACTGTCTGCGGATACACACCTTCTTAAACAGGTCTCAGAGGAGTGATTTTGAGACGTGCAAATATGGAATTGCACTTTTTCCGCACAACAACTAGATCTGATTTTTCTCAAAGCAAAATCAATGCTTTAACAGGATGCTTCAAAACAGCTCATGACATGCAGAGTCGGGCAATCTGATGCTACTTTCTCACACAAGGGAAGTCACACAAGACCATCCACGACAAGCATAATCCTTGCAGAAACACACTCTGACCTCTCCACCATCAGCCGCTTCCGGTGCCTAAGCCTGCTGGCCTCTCGGATGGACTCCCACTTCTGTAAGTCCGCCTCGCTGCAGGGACCAGGAGTGAAACTGATGGGAGGGACCGAGGTCCCGAGCTTCCAAGACTGGATCTTACGAGCCAACATGTCGTCTTTCTTCTGCCTACAGGAAGGAACTAACACTCTACAACTAGTGCTTTTTTCCTTCGAGGGGCATGTCCTTTCAAGCACACAGAGAAATTTTGCTTGAATTTCTGGAGGAAGCATCCAGGGTTCAGGGAATGGGACTGGCTGGTATCTATCAGGGCCTCCTGACAGAGGCACCTCTGTCTTCTGCGCTGGAATGCGGCGAACAATCATATCATCTTTTTCGAGGTCCGGAAGGACAAGTTCCCCTTCCCTACACTGCAGGATTATATCTCGCTCTATGGGATCGTCTTGCCCAGACAGCCTTCTTAAGTCTTCGAAAGCCCGGAGAACACATGGGTTTGCGTGGAAAGCCCTGGTCTTTCTGACAAAGAAGTCGTCATTCTCTAAGTCGGGATCCAGGCCTGGCATCTCCAGGGCATCTCCTGGTCCACGCCCTGGTGCATAAGAGAGGTTCCTTCTGCGTGTTATGAGCCGGGGGCCAGCTGTGGGGTCGATTTTGATATTTGTTTCAGAAGACAAGATGTCATCAGAATATGTCTGGAGGGCCTGAAGCAATAAAAACTGACTGAAGCATAGGAAAGAAAAAGCAAGGGAAAATCTTATTAAGTTTGGGGAGAAAAGGTAATTAGCAGCAGACCAACTAACTAGCCAGTCCCTGTGTGCGAATTATTTAAGAGGGCCATGGGAGGGATTCTAGCTGGGAAGTAACACCAGCATTTAATGCCATCGCCCATGATACCGTTTAATGAAATTAGAGCAGAGTCTACTTCTCAGGAAAGGCGGATATCACTGAGGCCAAGGGATGGCGCTATAGTGAGAAGAGAGTGAAGCTGCCCGACACACACAGTGCTCCATCCACCCTTCCTCATCCCATCAGCCACAACGGCCTGACTCCCTTCCCGGAGAAGCAGCAACGATCTTGAAAGGTTTCCAGAGCTGAGCAATAAATGCTTTATACAAGAGGCACAGGTGGTCAGCAGAAATTAAATTCAGCGCTCTGAAGCTTTGTTTAAAAAGCTCTGATGAATTTCTTCTTTGCGTTTTCTCACCAATCTTGCCTGTCCCAGTGTCTGTCTACAGGTTATTTCCTTTCTCCACAACTCCACACATAGCGCAGCTGTATAATTAGGTCAGCAGTCTAAAAAGCCTTTTTAAATGGTTTTCAACAAGAACTGATGATGCCACATGTAACTCTGTACTATTGAACATGATTGGGCTAAAGAATATTTAATCCTATTAGACTTTCAAGCTCACACGCTTGCACAGAAAGCATGATGTTATATGTTACGCTTTCATATCTCAGTATTAAGTGAGTGAGCGGCCATGATTCAGCTCATCACGGTCAGCAGTTAATGGGGCAGTGGAAGTTGGCACGTGTCACAGGCTGGACGCCAAGCAGGCGGGTTCATGCAGGCAGGTACACCTGGGCTCATCTGAAGCACCACGGGTTCTCCTGGCTGCATGGGGGTCCCAGGAGTTTCTGGCCCGTTTGGTAGCCAGTTCCAGCAACAGTGAACGTCTTTGACAGTTGCTGTCTAGCCTAGGATCTGCTTTTTGTATTCTACTAAAAATGGTGGAGCTTCTGTCAGAGCCTGAATCCTCATCGTCAGAGTCTGAATTCCTTCTACTTGGAGTAACACAGAGAAAGGAAAGAAAAGACAACAAAGAATGATGTAACTAAAAATACTCTCCAGCTCTGGCTGTATAGAAGACTTTTTAAAATCCAGATCCTAAAGTCTAAATTCAAAGTGTTTTTTTTTTCTTCAGTGAGCACATTTACAGATGTTGGAGGGAAATTAATCTCTCTCATAAAATGCCCACAAAGAATGCACCCAGTTAGGGTACTGAATGGACACTGGAATGAAAGAAACATGCACAAAGACAAACCTGAATCCCTGAAATTCTTTATACCACGGTTTGTAAGTTTCCCTTTTTATTCGTTTCCAGTTCACATCCTCTGGGATCCAGCATTTGGGAAGAAACTGATCAAAAGCATTCCCTGGGCTTGGCATGACTGGGCTTAGCTTTCGCACGTAAAGATCATCCTTTACAGTGTTGGGAACACTTCTCTTGTCTTCGTTCTCTTCCAAATAACAAGAGGAGTCTGAAGTTTCTTGTACTGTTGGCCAGTTCTCCACGTTTGTGCCCCAAGTTCTCCTCTCGTTACTGTTCAAAACATCCAACCAGTTAAGACACTGCGAGAGCAATTTGTGACACAGAACACAAGAGGCATGCTTTCTGTCTCACAAAGTTCACACTGTGAATGCAGCCAATTCGTTTCCATTCTCATCATTCTCATCATTCCAGACCCTACAACAAAGTTAAGGCATTATAACAGCATCTCATTTTAATTAGAGAAGAGCTTGATACAGAAGGGCTACAGACACTTATAAAATGTGTTAAAAGAGAGAGACAAATCACAAACCATCTGGAGTGTTACTTTATGTATTAAAAATCAATAGCACAATAGGCATTCCAATCCAGGAGAAATTTTTCTGACCTCGTCAGTTTGTACAGCCCAGTGGTTAATGGGTCAGCAGGAGAAAAGATGGGTGAACAAGATTTAGGAGAGATGAAACTCTCAGGCCTCTTTTTCACTTGGAATCTACGGTTGGCTAAGTCATCCCAAACTACATCCGGCAGCCTCCGTTCCTCCTCCGAGTCGGATCCACTTTCAGAACCATACACCTCCGTCGGATAGGAAGCTGGATTCGAAAAATCACGCTCTGCTCTGCTGATTTGATGGGAAATTAAAGAATTCTTTTTGTGTTCACTGAGCTCCATCAACACAGATTTTTAAAAAATGGAAACAAGCAACACTGCAGAGTCACAGTGAACAATGTAAGTCATCCAGGAAGCTGAAAGACAACCATGAGTCAAAGGCACGCACCTAAAAAAAGAACCGGCAAATCATATGCTGACATTCTAAAACGGAAGAAACCTCTTCAAGATATGGATGACTAAAAACACAGGTAAGAAAAAGAAAGATTCTCATTAATGAAGTTTTATGTTATCTATGAAATATAGTTTAAGAATTATTCCTTTTACCAAATTTAAATATCTCAGCAAATTCCCCAAGCCGAATGAATTTTAAAACTCAGTAATCAGCTCGCATCCCAGTACCTTGGAAACGTTCCATCTGCTTCTGTGTAGACGGCGCTTGCCCAGCTTCGTCTGTTATCCTCATTTTTGTCCAGCTTTTTCTTCCTCAAGGGTGCCGGCACGTACGATGGCTGTCTACTTTTGTTGGGTAAAAAGCGATTGAAGGGTAAGGCAGACTTGGGTTCAATAGCCGAAATCCTTCTATAGGACATATCATCTTTATTATGGTCCTGCATTTTGAATGTAAATTCAGAATCTGTGTCACTTTCACAACCTATTAACAACAACAAAAAAAAAAAGGCACAGGAATTTGCTTTAGTCTCCAGATTTTTCATCTAACTGAAACCCACACAGCCTGCCTGCTTTGTCTTCCCCTTGGAAACCCAGGGCTCTACTGCTCACTGTGGGGAATATTTTTAGAAATTTGTCACGAAGTTGTGATAAGACCCATTAGGAGGAACTTGCTTTGCATACTGGAGGTACACACAGTACTTTCTTCCATTCTTAGAATGGTACACATTCTAAGTGGAAAAAGTTCCAGTTTATGGCTGAACCCCTTTTCTACTCAATCTTCTCATGATTTTTTGTAAAATTTGTTGATGGAATACATGTAGATATAGTGCAGCCACAGAATCAAAGATGCCTAACATGAGATCTGAACAGACTTCAAGGGAACCTCAGTCATTTAAAATAAACTGTGCCATCATCCAAAATTTCTGTGAGGCGAGAGACCAAGAAAGACAAAGAAAAGATGCAAAAAGCACATGATCACGAAGAAGTTTGACAGATACTTATGAGACCCTTATGAGCAAGAATCACACATAACATTCGTGGTTGGACCAAATGACTCCTAAAGTCCTAAAGGAATATTAAGAGACCACAGAACTCAAGGCATTTTCTGACAGTGGTCACAGAAATATGGGGAACCTTCTATTTTGATTCAATATAATTTATGCACATATCTGAAAAAATACAGTTTGATACACCTCAAGGTCAGATAACTACAAACACTACTCTGTTCTCAAAACAAAACAAAACAAAAAGCCAGTCTGTCCTTTTAAATACATGGGAAGAAATGAAAGTACAAAACATTATAGATACAGCTGAGCCGTCTCCCTTCCTGCCCTTTTTTTCCTGCCTCTGTGTGTTTGTGAAGGAAAGTTGCAAATGCCACAGTCTTCGGTAGATTGGTAGCTTAGTACCTGGGAGTCACCTGCTCTTAGCAAAAGAACACCTCCAGGTTAACCTGAGCCAAAGGCAGTCTGTCCCCTCTTCCCTGGCTGGTAGGAGTCTACAGTGAGTAACACTGAGAGAACCCTACAGGAAGCAGTTGAACACACAGCTAGGAGACCTTGAGACCAGAACAGGGAAACCAGGTATCACCAGAAATATTAATAGTCAATAATCTGGTGCTTTGTTTTTACTACCTCCAAAATGAAAACATTTTTTGTAAGTAAGAGAGAAATGTCAAGATTCTTACTAAAATTTTGTACATGTAAAATTTTAAATATAAAAACAGTTCTGCTTTGGAAATTTTTTAAGTTAATAGTTTTTAGTCCACTACAGTATGCTGGAGAGTAGGCAAATATTCTTGATACGGCAAGAGATATGGATGAAAACGATCACCTGCCCCATCAATAAACAAAGGATGTTTCAGCCATCAAGCCATCAGCCACTGCAGCCATCCATGACTGTGTGCCCTGAGAGGCTTCAGGGTGGATAAAAACAGGATACTAGCCCTAGGTAGTTAAGTGCGAGCGTTGAAGGTATTGGTCACTCTATTGTGTCCAACTCTTTGTGACTCCATGGACACTAGCCTGCCAGGTTCCTCTGTCCATTGGATTCTCTAGACAAAAATACTGGAGTGCGTAGGCATTTTCTTCTCCAGGGGATCTTCCCAACCCAGGAATTGAACCTGGGTCTCCTGCATTGCAGGTGGACTCTGCTGTCTGAGTCAGTAGGGAAGGTGCATTTCAAAGGAATGATTTCAGTGAGCTCAGTCCCAGCATCTTCTTATACATAGAAAAGCTTGAAATTCATAACCGGAGATGTCTGGTTTTTCTTTAATGGTAATCTTTTGATGTTCTGACTACCTGGATTTTTTGGGGCTTTTTTGTTTTTTGATTGCTGCTGCTGCTGCTGCTGCTAAGTCGCTTCAGTCGTGACTGAGTCTGTGCGACCCCACTGATGGCAGCCCACCCGGCTCCTCCATCCCTGGGACTCTCCAGGCAAGAACACTGGAGCGGGTGGCCACTTCCTTCTCAATGCATGAAAGTGAAAAGTGAAAGTGAAGTCGCTCTGTCGTGTCCGACTCTTAGCAGAAACTCCTATATATCCTGGCTCCTCCCTTACCTCTCCAAAGCAGTCCCTCAGAGCTATCTGAGAGGTTGTCCTCAGGGCTTAGTCCTCAGGAAGTCTGCTAAACAAAACATAATTCTCAGCCTTTAGATTGCACTTCTTTCTATCCGTCAACAGAGGCTTCCTATAAAACCTAGGAATATGACTCTGAAATTTATCAACCTAAAAATATTAATCTTATCATCAATATTATTGATCATCAATTTGGGATTACAATCTGGTGTAGGTAGCAGAATTTCAACAGAATGATCAAAAAAAAAAAAAAAGTTTTATCATCCTGGAGGGCTCCCAGGATTTTTTTTCCTTCCTTAGTTTTAATTACCAAGTCTTCACTCCCACCCTCTTCAAACAAGGTCTGCATCTCCTTTCCCAAGATCAGGAAGCAGCATGACAGTAACCCTCTGCTTTTCATCACAGGGACTAGGCACCCAGCCCAACAAGAGTCTGCGGAGAAGGCTCACACCACTGAACCACTGCATGGGAACTGACCAGAGGCTATAAACTCCCCACACGCCTTCAATGCATGTCCCTTTTATTATTGTTGTGAAGTGAAAGCCTTCAATGCATGTCCCTTTTATTATTGTTGTGAAGTGAAAGTCGCTCAGTTGTGTCTGACTCTTTGTGACCCCATGGACTACACATACACAGTCCATGGACTTCTCCAGGCCAGAATACTAGAGTAGGTAGCCTTTCCCTTCTCCAGGATTTATTATTGTTGGCCAGATATAAATCCAAACAAAGCACGTGTTAGGTTCTTCAGTCCAGTCCAAAGTAATATAGTAGGTTGAGAATTTCAACCTCTGCATTCATAGCTTTAATCACTCAGATGAATTATGAACTCAGATTTGTTTCCTTAAAACTATCTTAAGAGTCATCTGGGCCATGAAAATGTTGCACCGAGATCACAAAGAGCCAACAAATACAGCAGTAATTGAAAAGGTTAACTTAAATAGCTATTCACTTTTCTTTGTTGTTAATATGTTTTTGAATTTTAATATGTTTATTTTTTATAGAAAGATAATTGCTTTATAGTGTTATGTTAGTTTCTGCTGTAGAACAACATGAATCAACTGTAAGTATATATGTGTGCATGCTCAGTCCCTTCAGTTGTGTCCGAGACTTTGAGACCCCATGGACTGTAGCCCGCCAGGCTCCTCTTTCCATGGAATTCTCCAGGCAAGAATACTGGAATGGGATGCGTCTCCTGCATTGGCGGGCAGGTTCTTTACCACCAGCATCACCTGGGAAGCCCATGCATGTGAAGTCGCTTCAGTCATGTGGGAAGCCCATAAGAAAAGAGTTAGTGAGTGAGTGAGTGAGTGAGTGTGTGTGTACGTACATATATATCCCCTCCCTCTTGAGCATCCCTCCTACCCCCCCCCCCCCCGCACCCTCAAGGTCATCACAGAGCATGGAGCCGAGTTCCCTGTGCTATAGAGCAGCTTCCCACTAGCTATTTATTTTACACATGGGAGTGTATCTATGTCAATGCTACTCTCTCAATTTGTCCCATCCTCTCCTTCCCCCATCCCATTCACTTTTCAAATTTTTAAAAGCTATCACTATTCAAAAAGCTAAATAATTTGGATTTATAATATTTGCTGATTCATTTTACTCTGGAAAAACAAATTCAGTATACACTGCTCTTATGTAAATTTAATTAAGAAAACAGTAGTAATAAAAGGTGAATTCTAGCTCATGATTGCATGCTAAAGCATTTAGAAACAAGTGTAATGTATTCTGAAGTGCCTTGAAAAATAAAATGGATAATTAATGCCTAGAGAACAAGAGCTTGGTGTGTAATAAAGCAAGCATGGTAAATGTTATGATAGAACTAGGTGGCAGGTACGCACATGCTAAGTCACTTCAGTCCTATCCAACTCTTTGGGACCCTAATGGACTGTGGCCTACTAGGTTGCTCTGTCCATGGGATTGTCCAGGCAAGAATACTGGAATGCATTGCCAAGCCCTCCTCTAAGGGATCTTCCCGAACCAGGGATTAAACCCATGTCTCTATGTTTCCTGCATTGGCAGGCAGGTTCTTTACCACTAGTGCCACTGGGAAAGCCCAGCAGTTACATAGGTAGGCATGTAAACTTCTTCCAACTTTTCTTATGTTTGAAAATGTTTTATAATGAAAGCAGGAAAACATTTAAAATAAAACTATAATCAAAATAAACAAGCAAAGTGAAATCTCTAACAATCCAGCGCAAACTCACAACCAGGACTCTCAATATTTTCATGTTGCTGGTGGAAGCCCAGAAATAATTCAAGAAACCACATATGGTTTCAATATAATCAAATTTGAATCACAAGAGGTTTACAGTCAGAAATTTCTGACACTACCCAACAGCCATAGGAAAAAGACCTGTATTTAAATAATGAATTTCACATTGGGATTTTGAAAGAAAACTCCTTCTCATAACAGAATGACTTTCATTAACATGTTCCTTTCATACTTGTTCTGGGTTGACTTTGACCATGACAGAAGCAAAAGATATTTTCTAACACAATGCCAGTGTTGCTCCTTAATCAACCAAAGTTTAGCGTGATATTCTATCAAGACAGATATCAATCACTTCTTTTCTTGGGTAGAGATAATTATTAAAATATTTTCCTGTTTTTTCTTAGAGGTTTTTTTCTTTTTATCTTTTGCCGAAAAGAAAAGGGAAGAAAGGAAGTTTTTCAGGAATTAGAACACACTTTTACAGAATCTTATTTACTTTCTTTTTTATGTCTAGATATATCAATTATTAGGCCTCAGAGGCAGAGATTGTTAAACCTGAATACGGAGGAAAAGAAATAGGATAGACTATCGCTGATCAAACAGGTCATAGTTAACTCTCTCTTCCCTTGTGGTTTAGTCACGCAGTTGTGTCTGACTCTTTTAGGATCCATGGACAGGAGCCCTCCAGTCTCCTCTGTCCATGGGATTTCCCAGGCAAGAATCCTGGAGTGGGTTGCCATTTCTTCTCCAGGGATCTTTCTGTTCCAGGGATTGAACCCACGTCTCCTGAATTGGCAGGCAGATTCTTTACTGCTGCCCTAATCCCCTCCAAAAACAGATTTTTTTTAAAAGTGAAACTATCACCCCTCAAGGAGCAATACAGTGAGGAAGGAACAAGAGAGACAGAGAAAGAGAGAGAGAAAAGGAAGGAAGGAGAGACATAAGGAAGACAGGGAAGACAGGACACCCTCAGTTCTATCCCAGTCTCCACGATATATACTTCCTGGTGAAGTTTTTGTCTCAATAATTTTCCCTCCATTTTTCTACTCTCTCCCATTGCCAGTTTTCTCTCAATACACTACGGAATAAAAATAAACTATCAAGTCCAAAATGCAACTCACCTTCACGTGCCCCCCTCAGCGTGATATCAGAGGAGCAGCTTGTGAATGACCTTGATCCCAAAGAGTCCAAGCTCTCAAACGAGTCCTCCCGCTTACAGCTGCCTGGAGAAGCCAGAAGCTCCCCGCGCTCGGGGCCCCAGACGTCGCTGTAACCACTGTCCCTCCCAGTCCTCTTCAGGCAGCTGGGCTCTTCAAGTGCCTAACGGGCGTGCGTTCGGAAATAGTAAGGAGCAATAAGTGAGCAAAACCTTCCAAGAATGTCACCAGTTATGGCGTCTTTGTTTGCATAGCTCAAGCCATGCTATCTCTGATCAGATGAGGCAATGAGATTTCCCAGTGAAATGTCAGAAAAAAATTTGATAGAAATCAGAACATAAATCTGTAAATGTCTTCCCATGACTTAACACTTTAGCACTCATGTGACAACATGGAGGTACCCAGTATTACTTACTAAGGTAACAGAATCTATTTAATAATGAGGAAATTTTCAATCAAAGAACAGCTGATAATTAGAGTAACATTCAAGAGCTAAAATCATACAGTTTTCTGGCGATAAACATAAAAGGAGGCAAAGAGAAAAGTCAACCTTAATTTTGATATTCAAAAGGAGAAGAGAATAAGATTGTATTCAGCCTACCTCCAGGAAGTATTAGGGGTCATTTCTACTGAACAACAACAACAACAAAACCATAACAAAGTTCTTCAACAAAAAGAAAAGTTTTAAAAGAGAGAGGGGTAAGAATAGCAGGTATACACTTCACAAACTTGTCTGTTTTCACTGATTACAAAACTAGATCTGAACCAAGGAAAGCTCACTGGTTACAAAATTAGATCTGAACCAAGGAAAGCGGACTTGTTTGCTGATATATAATACATTTCCCCTGTATCTAGATGAAATATTTGTTTGGCTCCTATAAGAGTTATTTAGAAATAAAGTAAATGTTATTAACCATAGGTTTGTAAATCATATAGAACTTACTAAAATAAGCATTTTTAACTAACTTTCCTCTAAGAAAGTTAATAGCAAAATACAATTGGACTTTTAAAAATTAGCATTTCAGTAGAATTTATAAAGCCTTTAGCATAGTCCTAATACATAATAATCAGTGAACAGTTAGGCAACTCTATAATTTTTTAATACAGTAGAGGTAATTTTGTTACTTAACAGTAAAATGAGAAATGTTATTTTCAGATAATGATACTAACACAGAGATAAGAATTCCTAGGTTCTTTAACAACCAAACGTAATATGTGAACCTTTCATTAAATCATTATTTAGACAAGAAGCTATGAAACAGAGTTGGGAAACAATTGATATGTTTTGAATATAGACTGGGTATTAAATAATGGGGAATATTCATGAATGTTCTTTGGTCTAGGAGACACTGTAGGTATACAGAAGAATATTCTTACTGTTAAGAACAGCATGCTGAGTATTCAGGAGTGAGCAACCTGAAATCTACATGAAATAATGGATAGATACCTAAATAAAGCCAACATGGGACATGTTTAATGATTAAATCTGATGGAAAAACAGGTGGGTATTTGTTACACTACTCTTTCAATTTTGAATTATGAATATTTTCAACATGTGGAGAAAGTTGAAGAAAAAAGGTTTACAATGAATAATAAGCAGCTGTCTCAGGCATACTTTTGGTTAAGACTGGACATCAATTTGTGGTTGAATTGTGTGACAAGTGTTTAAGTGCCAATAAGGTCCAATAGATTTATGTGAGATTTTATATATTTTATCTGCCACACACACCCTGGAATTAGAGTTGACATCTTGTCACGCAAATCCAAGCGCCTCCCTTGTACTCTGTGTCCAAGCAGATGGAGAAGCTGGTGCCACCAAAATACTTCTCAAAAAATAAAAAATTTAAAATCCTAAGTAAATCTTTAGATTCATCAGGTTTCTTAAACACATATTTGCTGAATTCTTAGAGTGCAACAGACAGGAAATGATTCTTGACCTCGTAAGTGTTAAAAGTTCATGATGACGTGCTACCATAGTTGTAAAAGGACTGGAGTTTGGCCCTGTTGCCTGGTTTCTCCCCCGACCCCCTAACAAGGACGTTCCTCTGACAAGTCACCTGAAGTGAGTCACCTACAACTTATAGGATGACTCAAGGTCACAGTTGACTGAATTTCTTTTGGCTGCACTGGGTCTTCATGGCTGCACTCAGTTGTGCAGTAGTTGTGGTGAGTGGGGGCTACTCTCTAGTTGCAGTGCTCAGGCTTCTCAATGTGGTGGCTTCTCCTGTTGTGGAGCGTGGGCTCCAGTAATTATGGCACATGGGCTTACTTGCTCCATGGCATGTGGAATCTTCCCAGACCAGGGATCGAACTTGTGTCCCCTGCACTGGCAGTGGATTCTTAACCACAGGACCACCCGGGAAGTCCCTGCAAGTATTTTTTCTTTATTCATATTTTAGATTGGCCATTAAGCATAACTAGTTAAGGGAGAAAAGTTTGATGAACACAATGGTTTTGATTTTAAGAGAACAGATGCAAAACATATACTGACATACCTCTTATGGCTTTCCACCTGCCATAATAATGGAATGGAACCACAGCTATAGCTTTACCTATGAAAAATTCTCTGTGTATACACTCTGGTTTTGACACTGGTGGCAGGAAACACTTCAGTAAAGCATTCCCAGCACACTCTATGAGGGTTACTGAACCTGACTCAGACTGCCATAAAAAGAACCAAAGGCTGTAAAGAGAACTCTAATGCAAGGGCCAAAGTCCCATGTTATTTTTAACTGGATGTTTTCTTAGCTGAAATAACTGTAAGGCAGACTCTGCTCATGCTTGAAGCCCCGCCACATTCATCCTTCCAAGCCTAGCCCTCCACCATTGCATTGACTTACTTATTCATCTGTCTACATCAAACAGTTGTGCGGTAAGGATGGGTCATCTCTGTTGTGTGAGCGCTTTCTCGAACACCTTGTATAATGCTCAGGTATGATATGATCTCAATGATTATCTGAATTAACTAACTGTTTTAAGGAATTTAAATAGGATATTATCAACTCCTTATGATTTAAAAATAAAAATCCAGAAGGAATACTCTAACCTTCAAGACTATAATCTCAACTCTCTGTAATATATATGGCTGGGCTTAGGCAACACTAAAGATGAGAGTAGTTATAAGGCCAAGAGATCATTTTCATCCTGGCCTAGAACATCTATTTTCCAATCATAGTAACTAGCATTTATTACATCCTTACAATGTGCCAGCGACTAATGCTAAATGCCTGATGGGTACAGAATCATTTACTGGTCATAAAGACCCATCAAGCAACTACTATTAATTAGATGGTGATAAATTATTTTGATGACATATTTTCTTCTGAATACTGTAGATTCTCCTACATAAATACCCCCCACGGTGATTAGTTCTCCCATTTGATCTTATGAATGAGGATCTGGCCAACTCTGGTTAGCCTTGGCACTTGACTCTCTTCAAACAGTCTTTAAACGCTCAAAATTTGCAACACTGACTCCAAAATATGAAGGACTAGAAATGTGTTGAAAACCAAAGATTCTAACTTAAAAATCTTATCAAGTTTCACATAACAGCATTTATTACTCTTTAGGAAACAGACATAGCATGGTAGAATTGTGAAGATATTGGAATAAGAACATTAGAGATATAGTGACCTATGGCAAAACAAGAAGATAAAGAAACTGAGTAACATACACACATTTTAATAGCCTGAAGCACTTACAGGTTGAGTTCATAATGAATATAGAAAGAGTTGGGTTATATAAGGTGTTGAAGAAACAAAGTTAATGAGTCTCTCACTGAGTCACCTAAAATTAAGAAATAAATACCTATACCTATATCACATATCCTGGAAACTGGTCTGAACTACTCACTCCTTGGTGGCGGCTTATGAAGTCAGCAGATAAGTAACAATCCTCTCTAACCATCCCAATCAGAGCCACCACATTTTGTAGAAAAAGTAAAAGAAGGCAGAGGGCACACAGAAGAAATAGGGGAAGGGGAAGATAAGTACTATTAGTGAGAGTAAATGCCTCATATAGATAGAGTTTCCTTACCTTAGTCAGAGCTTGTCCTAAAAGATTCTCAAACGCTTTCAAATTAAGATAGGGACCTTTATAGCAGGGGTTGCTCCGTGCTTTTCTTCCCAGCCAGTACAAAGTTATCAAAACCTTAAAAAAATGCCGTGAAACAACAGATGAGTCTAAGTAACTAACAGCAAGCTCAAATGCAAGTGAGCACTCTAGATAAAAGACCATATGTATCTCTGGTTGAAAAGTAGATTTCCTTTCAAATTGCATGAAGGAGAAGGGTCATCAAAAATGTTATTCTTCTCTGAGCACATTCTCACACCAAACGCTTAGACCCCCAACAAGTATTTGTACATTCTACCAGTACCCACGAAGCAGGAAAAAATTCACAGGAAGAAAACATAAAGTAAACTTTTCAGACAATATTTTCCCAACAAACTTACAGACTAGACACTTAAAATCAATAGTTCTCAGCTTCCCTAATAAGGATATTTAGCTCTTATGTTTTTAAATAAAGCTGTCACATTTTCAGAAATTCTTCTAATATGCAGCAGACTATAGCTATGTCTACAGTGGCTAATTCCTCAGAGTTCTTAAACATTTAGTGTTTCTCCTTAAAGTCTGATTTTGGTGGGTTCTGACTTACTCTCCTAAAAATCCTATAGCCTGTTTATCTGTCTTTGCGTGCATGCTAAGTCGCTTCAATCATGTCCAACTCTTTGCAACCCTATGGACCATAGCCTGCCAGGCTCCTCTGTACATAGGATTCTCCAGGCAAGAATACTGGAGTGCATCTCCATGCCCCCTCCAGTGGATCTTCCTGACTCAGGAATCAAACCCACACCTCCTGCATCTCCTGATTTCACAGGCAAGTTCTTTGATATTAGCGTCACCTGGGAAGCCCTTATCTGCCTTTACCACATTACTAACATGTAAGGACCCACTTCCTAAATTTAACCCACCTTCTTATACTATGAGATCAGATAATATACGTTTCAACCATATTTAAGCATATTTAGAATTTGTTTCTAACAAAAATTCCATTAGAAAAAGGACAGAGAACATAGATATTTTTAGTTCTCACTACCCTATTACAGAACACGTTAAGAAACCATTTATAATGTTCCATTAAATATGTATCTTACATTTTTCACTCTCCTATCAGTTTCTTCTTGCCTGTAAAGAAGAAAAAAGAAAATATTCATTAAGTAATATCTATGAACCTGAATTAAATTGTTAATTATTAACTAGGAAAAAACTCACTTGTATTCTAAAGTTCTATGAATGTTAATATCACCTGGAAGTTCAGAAACTTTACAGAGTGTATTATCCATCAGAGGATTTTTCCATATTCACTGATTTCACGAAATATAATGGTCAGTTTTCTATTAAAAGCAAGGTTGTCTTTTTTAAATTTCATTTATTATAGCCTGATTTATAAAATGTGCTATTTGCATTTTTAAAATTTTCATTTTAAACAATGTTTAAACTCAACCCAAAGGGGGAAAACATCAACATATGGTCATGGCAGAAAACAATCAGGAAAGGCAAAAGATGTAAATAGGCAAAAACAAAAGTAATTTTGCACAGTTTTCTTTTCCATTGTGCATGGTGGTTTTTCACTGAAGTGCCCCAGAGAAAATTGCTCAGAGACCAAACCCCTGCAGATGCTAAAAAGTGTGATTTTTTAAATGCCATGAATCTCTGCCTAGAGATTTAACTCCATTATAAGCATCATGAGCTTCCCTGGTGGCTCAGAGGGTAAAGTGTCTGCCTGCAATGCAGAAGACCCCAGTTTGATCCCTGGGTCAGGAAGATCCCCTGGAGAAGGAAATCGCAACTCACTCCAGTACTCTTGCCTAGAAAATCTAATGGACAGAGAAGCCTGGTAGGCTACAGCCCATGCAGTCAGTCGCAAAGAGTCGGAAACAACTGAGCGACTTCACTTTCAATTTTCATAAGCATCATGAGTTCTCCCCACCCCCATGCCTGTAAAAAGGCATGATATTTATGGGAAAAGTTAAAGAAACAGATGTCACCACAGTGTGGAAGACAAAAACACATGAGTTCATTAACAAACGGGTCACTCTAAACTATTGGTGCTTTTCAGAGACTTAAGCAAGATCGTTGCTGGTTCAGGAGAGATGCAAGACCTTGAGCTAGATACCCTTCAATGCAACTTTCCAGTCTAAGAGTCATACTAGTATACTTATGAGAAAAAAAAAATACACACACACACACACAGAGGCTTTCTCGGTGTCTCAGAGGTAAAGATTCTGCCTACAATGCAGGAGGCATGGAAATGTGGGTTCAATCCCTGGGTTGGGAAGATCCGCTGGAGGAGGAAATGGCAACCCACTCTAGTATTCTTGCCCAGAAAATCTCATGGAGAGAGGAACCTGGGGGGCTGCAGTCCATGGGGTTACAAAGAGTTGGACACAACTGAAGGACTAAGCATATACACACACACCATGTGTGTGTGAGACATAGAAAACATGCACACATAACATATATACACAGGGAAACAAAGGGGAGGAGAATGAGCTCATAAACAGACACAAATATTTAACTTAGCTTTCAAAGAATCCATGAAGACAGCTACGACCATTCCTTCCCATACAACAAACATGAACTTAAGTGAACCTAAGAACAACATGCAACTCCAGTCTACCATCAGAACAGCATAACAAAAATAAAATTCATGAGCTCTCACCCTACTGTGGAAACGTAAATTGGTACAACTACTTGAATACACTTCATAGCATCTATTCAAGCTGGATATATATGCATATTCTACAATCTAGTAATTCCACTCCTCAGTATATACCCAAAAGAAATACTTACAGATATTCAGCAAAAGTCACATATGAGAACCTTTGTAGATGCACCATTCATAATAGAATGAACTGGAGCTATACTTAACATCTTTAAGAGCCGAATGGATCCATTATGGAATATTTGCACAATAAAATATTCTGTAACAAGAACTAACCACCTACAGCCATATGGTACAATCTCACAAACACTGGGGATCAAATGAAGTCAGGCAGAGCACAGGCTGTATTATCCACTCATGTCAAGTACAAAAACAGGCAAAACAAAGATAAGATGTTAAGATTCAGGATAGTGTTCACTCCGGTAGGGAGGATGGAAGTGACTGGGAAATGGTGACGCACTTCTGGGAGCTTATTATTTCTTATGTTTGATCTGTTTGATCTAGTTCTTATATTTTGAACACACTGCCTACCTATGTGCATTTCATCTCTAAAGTTTGTGAACTGTACACTCAAAACACACATATAGAAATAGATATATATTTCAAAAAAGCAAACAAATTTCACAGTCCAAGTACTTAAACCAGGGCTTATCTCTTGAGTAAAAAGAAAATTATCTTGTAAAAAAAAAAAAAATCAACATTTCCAAAGAAGTAGGGGGAAAAAAATCACTAGAAAGCAATAATAAAAAATAACAAAGGTGTAAAATATACAGCCTTCTTTTATATTAATGGCCAACATACACACCTCAGACATTAACCAAAGCACAAAGAACCATCAATACTCAACACAAAGGATATACTAGGCTGAAAACCACCACACTATTAACATTCAATGCAAAGCATCCCACTTTTCTCATAAGCACCCTGAGGGCAGAAGGAACCACAGAGCTCTCTTGAACCCCTGACCTCCTTTCCACACAGCCTTCTCTGAAGCTTTCTAATCCAACACACTCATTGGCTTTTTATTATGATAAAGCAATAATTGTAAACACAGGGTATGGCCTATTTGGGAATATACGCTCACAATAAACCGTGACCTTGGCACTCTAACCTTTCCCGCATTTCACATTCCTTTCCAGACATGAGCGTTTATAACACGCTCTTGAACACGGTGACACATAGGCCGGCCAAATTGCTGTTCTATCACTGAAATGTAATGCCAGGAATTCAAGTAGTCAATGATTTGCGGGAGTCAGTAGACGCCAGCTTCTGATACCCAACAAACACATCCCATTGCTTGGAAGTCGGAAACCAGGCGGCTCCTTTTGCCTGCGGTGGCCACGGGGCAAGACCCCAGAGCCTTTCAAAGAGAGAACAGGCGTGAGAGCTGAGGGGAAGCTCAGGGTGGCAGCCTCTCCGTGAGCCATCCAAGATGCTGGCCAGCCCAACAGAACCAAAAACCAGACAAATCCCATCTACAAACAGACTAATCCCTTATAACAGATATTTCAACTGTTGACATGGTATAACATGGATAACCTAGAGTCTGCCATACAGAATGAAGTTAAGTCAGAAAGAGAAAAATGTCGTACATGAACGCAAATATGTGGAATCTAGAAGCACGGTACAGATGATCTATTTGCAGGGCAGGAACAGAGATGAAGACATAGAGAACAGACACATAGACGCAGGGTGGGAAGGGAGAGTGGGACAAATGGGAGATGAGGACTGACATAGATACACTGTCATGTAGCTAGAGGGAGCCTGCTGTAAGGCACACGGAGCTCAGCCCCGTGCTCTGTGACGACCTGGAGGGGTGAGATGGATGAGCGGGCAGGAGGGAGGTCCAAGAGGGACGGGGTATATGCAACCAAAGAGCTGATTCATTTCACTGACGTGAACACACTGTGTCACTTTCACAGCAGAAACTAACACAACAATGTGCAGCAATTATATTCCAATTAAAAAAAAAAGAGGATGGTGTGGGGCTGTCGGGGCTGGCAGGTGGCCCGGACCTGAGTTTCGGTTTCCCCTGAAATGGTGGGATTCCCCGCCCCCATCGGGTCGCCTGGAGCCAGCCAATCAACAGGCGCCCAAAAGGGAACAAAGGGAAAGCGGAAAAGCCCGCGAACGCCTAAGTTTGAACAAAAGCCCGCGAAAGTTTGTACCAACAGAATTGCTTTGCAAACATGTAACCAATCCGCTTAAGCCAGCTACCAACTGCTTATGTTCACCCTATAAATTTATGTAACAGCTGGGGCTCGGGGCTTTTTCTGACCCGGCACCACTGCGTTGGTTGCGGCAGAAGCCCTGGCTCGAGAGTCAATAATAAACTTCCCTTTTTTTGCAAGTTGCATTGTCTTGGAAGCCTTCTCTCTTTCTGCTCGGGGATTCGGACATCGGGCATAACAGATGGTCTTTGGATCAGATGTAGGGCCCAAGAGCTATGTTCATCTTGGCAATTTGACTCTTGAAGCTTCAGTTTCCTTCTGGAGGATCGGGATATAATGGCCCATATTTCAGGAAATCATCAGAAAAGTACCCGGGTAGCAGAGTCCGTAGCCATATGCTAAGTGCTCACTGAACAGCAATTATCACCAGACTGTAAGCTACGTGAGGGCAGGGATCATCTTACTTAACCAAGTTACCCACAAAAGCTTCCTAATGAAGCCATGCTGGATCACAACATTTAAGTTGCAACCAGCCTGCCTGACATTCCCTATCTCTCATCCCTGCTATATTTTTGTATTATAACCATCAATTGAATGCGTTCATTTATTATCTGTCTCTTTATCATCCAAAAGGAATTTTTGTGATATTATTTATCACCATACCCCAAGTGTCTTAAGACAGGGTCCACCACGTGACAAGGACATTAAAATATTTTTAGTAAAAATGTCTAGCACAGTGCATGGCACACAGATGCTCAGCAGCACTAATCTGAACATATCTTTTTAGCTTACAGAAATGTAAGTTAGCAAGAGAAAGCCTGAAATGATAAAAGCTCAGGAAATTCCTATGCGATGTTAACAGTTAAATTGCATTAGCTTACTTACAACACCCAATTTTTACTCCAATTGCCCTGATGCTCATAACTGTGCTTCTTTTTAAAGCTACTTTCTTTAAAACTTCAATAAAAGGAACTGTTTATAATCATAGATCAATAACCTAAAAAAGGCACAGATTCAAAAACTAAGAGAAGCTGCAAAGTGCTGAGTGCAGAGATTAAGCGCTAGTCTCTGTGATGTAAAAGCTTCCCAGCAAAATTCTGAAAGACAAAGGCCAAAGAATCTAAACCTTCCTTGACACCCAAATTTACCATAAAAAGGGACAGAGATGAAACATAAATAATTTGAAAAATTACTATGTTGAATACTTCTCTGTGCATTATGCTAATTTAAATATTGTATTAAATATTGTGTTTAATACTCAAGAAATGGCCAAGTATAACAGAGATATC